CCGCGTCCCCGCCTCCCCGCCCCGGCCGGGCCTCGCCCCTCCTCTGCGCCTCCGGCACCGGCTGGGCTCCGCCAGGCGTCAGGGGAGCAGGGTGCTGCAGGCGGCCCCCACGGGAAGGAGTCAGGAGCTCGTGGAAGAAGCGCCCCCCCCACCCCAGCCGTGACCCGTTTTAAGGCCCCTGGGAGCAGAGCTGTGCCCGCAGCGTGACTGAGATGAACCGAGAAACCAGCTTCGTGCCCCTCACCCTGGGGATCCCCTGGGCCGGGGAAAGAAGAGGCAGGGGGTGAAGCGCTCCTGTTTGCGAGACGTTCACGCAGCTGGGTCCCACCATGAGTTGGGCCGAACCGCGCTTGTCGTCTCATCCCACCCAGCCGACGACCCTGGGTCATAGAAACACGTCACCCGGGGCCTTGCAAAGGAAGGTGCAGGCTTGGAACAGGCCCCGGGCGGCGCCTTCCTGGCAGGTGTCACGAGCAGGGTGAATAAATGGACTTTTCTGCGCTCCTGGGATTCAGGGCTGTGCCTGTTATATTTACTTGGTAGCCTGGGCATTTTGTCCTCCAGCCTTTGCTATAGTCATGTCAGATTGCCAATAGTGCGTGGGGAAAGAGGACACTGAGTGGGTATGGGATCGGGACCCAGAAGACCTGTGTGACTTGGGCTGAGCCACTCCAGGCCTGCGTCCCCACTCTCATCCTTTGTTTTGCCTACCAGGACTGTAAGCTCTTTGGAGGAGAGACTCCTTCTTATTATGTATTTGTACAGTGCATGATAGGGTCTTGGTCTTGGCTGGGTCACCTAGGTGCTATCTTTATAAGAACAATACATCTGCCCATTGCATTCAGCCTTTGGGGATCACAGCTTCCCAGCCCCCATCACATAAATATGAGGTTTACATTCACTCTCCCCAGGCACAGTGCTCAACTCAGGTTTTAAACTCAGCCATGTGCTAGACCCAGGACTCTGACAGCAGCTGCAGGAATACAGTCATTGGTTTCTGCAGTTTGACCCAGTAAGGCATGTGCTACTGCCCTTGAAGTCCAGTAATGCAAATTCATATTCTCTGGAAAACTTCCTAACTGTTGAGCAGAGAGAACAAGGAAATAAGTGGCCTAGAGAGGTTGTGTATCCTTCTTAACTGGTGGCTGGATAGATATGTGTCTGGGATAATGCAGGAACGACTCCTGCATCTGTGCAGGGGGTTGGACTAGATTGGGGTGTTAACGCCTTTGCCGCTGGCAGCTATGGTGAGAAGGGCCAAATCACTTGTGCTGTATGTCTGACACCTCTGGACTAGATGATCTTTTAAGTCCCTTCCACCTGCAGGATGCTGATGTTTAGATGCTGTTGCACAGTCAGTCTCTAGGGGGAGCTACGGATCTTGCAACCTGAGCCCTCTTCCCTCTCAAGAAGACCTGGAGGGCAAGGGGAGAAGGTAACCTTTATCACATTGATTAGGGAGGGTGGAAGGCTGCCCCAGGAGAGGGACTCATTTTCATCGAGCAGCTTGTAAGCCTTAAATCTAGCTAAAGTAACCTAAAAATAAATTGAACTGATAAGGAGGAGGAAAGGTCAAGTGTGAAGTAAGAAATCACCCTGGTTTTATTTGGTATTTTTAAATAGATGACTCCTTTGAGCAGGCAGATAGCCAAAATTGTAGGCAGCAATGTTTGGGGTCTGGGGTATATAAATATCTCTTGTTGAGATCATAATGATAGCTCTGCCTCTGCTACCATACAGCTGAGCCAAAAATAAAAGTTTATTAATTATGAAGGCCAGTGTGGCTTTGCTGTCAGCACTCTCTATAGCTTTGCTCTGCTCAAGTCCAGGAAGTTATGGGGGGAGGGGTGGGGGAATTTGGTGATTGTCCAGGAGTGATTTTACAGCTGAAAAGAGCACATGGTGAACAGCACTGAAAGTGGGAAGCAGAAGTTCAATTCCTAAGTGGACACTTAAATGCCTTGAGTAGCAGAGCAAAGGCAGTGCAGCACACAGAGCTCTGGGAAGGATTACTCCTCTCACTTATTCAGGGGCATGCTAGCCTCCTGCCTACCACAGCTCCATGTTCCTTTCCCCGGTGGTTTAGGTAAATCTTTTTCTCCCCGTCTTCCCCTTCTCAGCATTAAAGCAGTTCTTTCATGACTGGCAGGCAAGTGACTTCTGCCAATGTGGTTTCTTTTGGAGCAACTTTGTTACATGAACACCCATCACCCCTGAGTGGGTATCCCATGGGTGTTCCTTAAAAAAATTATTCCATGATGTCTGCACATGATTATATGAAACTTCAGTGTCTTGAAGCAGAGGTTAGGCGGATAAGAAGCATCCAGCTTTTAAAGAAAGGTGAGCTCAAAAAATTTAAAATGCACTAAGTGCATTTACTTTGTAAACATATAGAATCTTTTGATCCAGTCTGTCCATTTTTACTATGAAATATTTTCTGACTCCTGAAATGTGCACACACTCCAAATTAGCAGGAAACAAATCCTAAACACTTTGATCAGTAAACAGCCTAAACTTCAAGGTTGTGGGTAGCATAAAAAAGAGACTCAGACAGCCTCTGTACTTCTTTGCTTTGCTTTGGATTAGAAGACCATCTATGATTTTGAGTCAGTTTCACTTGAATACATTGGGAGATCATAGTATCATGGCCCAAAGGAAACAATTGCCTAGTTTTTACCTTATTTTACATGATGGGCACTAGAAAAGGCACCTTCCATTTGTGTGTGTCTTGGAGGCAATTGTCAAAACTGACAGGTCCAAACCTGGTCAAAGGGAGTGGTTTTGGTGGATACATCAGGAACAAAGGAGATAATTTACACCCAGGTGAAGGCTCATGATTGCTGGGGCTAGGACTCTTCTGTTAGGGGATGCTCTCCCTGAGATCAAAAGGATTTCAGAACTCACCCTCAGAAGAAGCACAGTAACCCCATCTCTGCTATTGGACAGCAGAGAGAGAGAGAGAGAGAGACCCATCTCTGGTGGCTGCTTTCTTATTAGAAGCTCAGTTACCGTGGTGATAAGCATGGTATAGATTCCCAGTCAGAAATAACACACACTTGGGATCCTTCAATAAGAGCAGAACTGAGTACACTTGCAATGGTTACTATATGATATTTATGTCCCCCATTACTGGGGCTGGCTGGAAATGGTCATTTCACAGTGCGGGAATTGTTGGGAGAACAGCAGCAGCAGCACTTTTGCTGTACCTTTGACGTAACCCCTACACCAGGGAGGGCTGAAAGAGAGGATAGTCAGCTCCAGGCTAGCCAAGGATTTCCCTACACTAGGGAAATCCTCAGGTGCCTATTTAGGGCACTTTATATCTCCACTGTGCTGCTGGAGTGCAAACAAGTCTTAGCACAAGCCTTTGGAATAGGTTAAGTTTTACTTGTAGTGGAAATGGGAGAAATAGAGTGCCAGCCACCACTTCACTCAGCACACAGGGCTACAGGGGGCCAACTGAGGTACAACAGAAGACACTCAAAGCTATGTGGGATACCCCAGCTTTGCTTCTTCCCTCTTGTGTATATTTATAATCACTCTACTAACCTCCAGGGATACTACTGTGGGATGCCAGCTGCATGCTAGTCACAGCATGTGTGTGCTCATGCCTACACTAACTGGAAGCTGTAACAAAACCAACCCAAAACCAAGACACTTAAAATGATGCCATTAGCTGAATGCACCCCAGTGATTTAAGCCTTCTTGTGCACAACATAAGCCATAACAAGCCTCTTTCAAAAGGGGTGTTTTCTGGTGCTTGGAGCACATGACTTGTCAGGAAACCTGCGTTCTAATTTGAGAGCTGAATTTTGGTTGCAGCATCGACATGGACTCCCTATAGCTGGTCAAGTCTCCTTCCCTCTCTGGCCCAAGTTTCTCTTTCCTGCCTCGATCAGTGAGAAGCAGTTGAGACCTGTGGAGAGAGAACATTAAAGAACTAATATTATTTACTTCCCATGGAAGTTTATAGAATGATGTACATATCGAAAACATCCAGCTGCTTGTCAGATGTGCTCTCCTGGAATATTTTTGGACTATCTGTCAGCATTTATGGGGCCAAAGAGGATCAGAATACTTAAGACTTGGTAATTAGTCACTCCAGTGGCTCTGCATTACAGATCCCTTTAGTGATGCCTAGATGTTGTTTCCAAAAGGATCAATTAACTGTCCCTCTGGGAACAGTCTCTGCAAGCAAAGACCTCTATGCTGTAGTCTTGCAGGAGCCGTGTGTCTTGGTTTAGTTTTCACACTTCCTCTCCCCTGGTCTCCCGCTGAATTTCCATCTATTTCATCTCAGTCACCTTCATTTCCTAAACTGGCTGCCAGTTAATCTGCTGAGGCCAATTTCCCAAATCAATTTTTAAGCTCTGCTTTTTAGGCTCTGTCAGGAGAGTCCTGTTTTGCCTTTTCTCTGCCATTGACTTCTGCTCTGCTTTCATCCACAATAGCTCTGGGGGGCCTGGTAACCACTGGAGTTTTCTCCCTTGTGTGATAAGCAGTGTATGTGAGTAAAGTATTTTGCCTGCTACCTGATGCACTTAGTAGCAGGATGTAGTAGTAGACA